GAAGCACTTCCTTGAGGCTCGGCCGGAGGAGCGTTTCCATCGCTGGCCAGACCCGGAGGAGAACGGGCAGTCGCTGCGGGCGTCAGGAGAGGTGGCCGCCCGGCCCCTTTCCCCGCCTGCCCGGATGGGTGCGTGCAGACCCACCAAAGAAAAGCGGTCGCTGCGGGGCCCAGGGCTCGGGACCCCCAGTCCCACCTTGGCCGGGCTGTGGGACGGCCGGGCTGTGGGACGGCCGCGCCCCCAGGGCCGCCTGCGTCTCCAGGAAGCCGGGAGTGGCGTCCCCTGCGGGGTGGGGTGCTCCCAGGCCGAACTCCGGACAGGTGGAGGGGACAGCAGGGCTCGAGGAAGCCCTGTCCCCTCCAGTGCAAGGTGCTCTCACGTGTGCCCTCTGCCCTCCCGTTCACCCGCAGCCTTCTCAGCGCCTCTCCCTGGGCCCGGGGCCGCCTCACTAGCCTGTTGCTCTGGAAAACAGTCCACAGTCCCGAATTCCATCCATACGCCTCCCCCCGCCCCCTCCCCCGTTTTCGGCGGGCTCTGGGGAGGGGGCTGCACGGCAGAAGGAGGCTGGCGATGGGCCCAGCTGCCTGTTGCATGCACCTCCTCCTCCACCCATAGCCTCTTGCCTGGGAAAGAGTTAGCCTGGGGCTGATACTTTGGTTAAGCTGAAGCTGCCGAGGGTGGTCGACCTGCAGATTCTCTGCAAATTCTGAGCTGGCAGAGCCCGCAGCCCGGAGCCGGCCGGGGAAGAGGAGACTTACACGCTGCAGGCCGCCTCCCTCCACCCTGCTCTCCATCTCCCACTTCAGAAGGGCTGGGAAGCTCACGGCCGGGGTTCCACCTGGAAGCTGCTTGCATGGCTGAACCCAGCTTAGGTTCCTAGCGGGGCTGCTGGTGGAATTCTCCCCCTTGGAGGCTGGGGAGGTTTAGGAGGGGGAAGGCTTCTGTGAAGCTCTCAAACCACTAATAGAGCCCCCTCCCCAACAGTGACAGCGCAGACGCTCCCTCTTTTTAGTTGACACCACCAGGCAGCCTCCTGGCTGTTGGTAGGTTCCTGCAGCTGGCTGGGGGAACAGGGACCGGCAGGGGACTTTGTTAGGGGAGGGTTGGGATGGGCAGTGGGCCCTGAAAGTTAATATATTCGAACCTAGCTCGAGTGTCGTTCTTTCCAATTCCGAAAGTAGGAAGAGTAAAAATAGGGGTGATTGGGGTGAGGCTAGAATGCCTCTCTCAGGGCGCCCCCCCTCCCCCACCGTTTTAGAGAGCTAGGCCCCAGCCAGTTTTGTCACTCCCATCTCAATGCTTCCCGAAGAGGCTGTTTTGAGTGTTGAAAAGATGAAAATGCAATTATGCCAAACAGTATTGAGCAGAATAATTTATTTCTTTTTTCTTTTTCTTTTGCTTTAAATCATGAATCCCGCCAGGCATGGTGGCTCACACCTGTCATCCCAGCACTTTGGGAGGCCGAGGCGGGCGAAGTACTTAATACTAAGGTCAGGAGTTCCAGATCAGCCTGGCCAACATGGTGAAACCCCGTCTCTACCAAAAAAAAAAAATACATATATATACACATATATATATACACACACACACACTAGCCAGGCGCAGTGGTGCGCTCCTGTAATCCCAGCTACTTGGAAGGCCGAGGCAGGAGAATCCCTTGAACCCGGGAGGCAAAGGTTGCAGTGAGCCGAGATTGTGCCACTGCACTCCATCCAGCCTGGGCGACAGAGCAACACCCTGTCTCAAAAAAAAATTAATCATGAATCCCCATCCTGGAAGAGGTAGGTCCCAGCATCCAGCCAGATCTTTTCTGCAATAGTAATTTAAACAAACTTGTTTATTTCCTTCCCTTTCTCGTTCTGAATTAAAAGGAGCAAAAAACTGTCTAGTCCTTCATTGTTCTGAAATGGGCATGATGGTGGGAAGAAGGCAGCTCTCATAGGGTAGATGTGACTGATAATAGCTGAGAACGCTGGGGGATATGGGAGGAGCGAGATGACTTCCAGACACCCTCCCCGCCCCCTCATACAACAGGCACCTCATTCCTGGACTCTGCTCTCCAAGACACTGAAGTCTGAGCGGGTACAAGCATTTTGGTTAAAAATCAGCTCATTGTCGCCTCTTGAGTTCCCTCCAAGAGAGGAACTCATTGGAAAGAATTCCTGGTAGCATCTCCTTGCAGTGGCTGTCCTGTAACCACTTTGGCCTCTATCAACATGATGTCTCCAGGTCTCCATTAGGCTCCGATGCATTTGGGTGGCCACAGGCTGGGCTGTCCCCTAAGTCCGGTTTGCCCCTCTGGCACAGCCCTGCCTCCACAGCCCAATTTCCACCATGCCACAGGCAACCCCCATTTTTATTTATTTGATTTATTTATTTATTGAGACAAGAGTCTTGCTCTGTTGCCCAGGCTGGAGTGCAGTGGTGCTATCTCGGCTCACTGCAACTTCCATCTCCCAGGTTCAAGTGATTCTCCTCAGCCTCCTGAGTAGCTGGGATTACAGGCACCTGCAACCACGCCTGGCTAATTTTTATACTTTTAGTAGAGACAGGGATCGCTTCTCGGCTTTTGGCTAAGATCAAGTGTAGCAGAGACAGGGTTTCGCCATGCTGGCCAAGCTGGTCTCAGACTCCTGACCTCAGGTGATCCACTCGCCTCAGCCTCCTAAAGTGCTGGGATTACAGGTGTGAGCCACTGTGCCTGGCCCCAGCTGAGTCTTAAGGCCCAGTGGAAGACAGTGTGTACCACAGCCTGTCTATGAACCTGCCAAGATCTGTTTCTTGTCCTGCATATCCCTCAAAACTGACTGCCTTATGCTGCAATTGGTCGGCGAGCACACCAAGTGCCAGACCTCCAGAATACAGAGTCCCACATAATCTCATCTTTTTAAAATTTCCTGTTGGCCAAGCACTGTGTTGTTTTGACCCAGCAAGGATACCAAGGAAGTGGTTCTAGTGCAGCGTACCCCACTGTCACCTCTCTCTGAGGACAGCCACCACTGAGCTTTTCAGAGATGCCGGTGCCCTCTCATGAATGCATGTATGTTTGTAATTTTTCTTTCTTTTTTTTTTTAATTTGAGATGGGGTTTCACTCTAGTCGCCCAAGCTGGAGTGCAATGGCCCGATCTCGGCTCATCCCAACCTCCACCTCCCGGGTTCAAGTGATTCTCCTGCTTCAGCCTCTCGAGTAGCTGGGATTACAGGCAAGCACCACCATACCCAGCTAATTGCATATTTTTAGTAGAGACAGATTTTCTCCATGTTGGTCAGGCTTGTCTTGAACTCCAGACCTCTGGTGATCTGCCTGCCTCGGGCTCCCAAAGTGCTGGGATTACACGCGTGAGCCACTGTGACTGGCCAC